TGATACAATTTGATGAACTTGACCTATACCTATGGATGTAGTAACTCAAAAAGAGGGAACAAGTCTTTACAGCGAGGATCATTCCCACCTCTTCCATACACAGAATAGACAGGGATGGGCAACTTGGACATTGGCTACCTAAAATGGGGGGCCTACAAAGGCAAGAATTGACTGGCTTAACAAGCTTTCAAGAGGGAAGCTAGATTCATAGGGCATGGAGGAAGGTAGAATCTCCACTGAGTAGTATAGGATCTGTCTAGGCGGGGCTGATGAAAGGAAATGCGGATGCATCTTTTGTTATACAATAGTAAACAACTGTTATCAGGACTGCTTGTGAGGAGGGGAATGATTAACTTTGCAGTCTAAGAGTGGAGGTCCCTGGGACCATCAAGGGAGAAGAGCAGAGTACGAGACTCTACCCAGAGAAGCAGTGATGCCAGAGATGGAGAAATGGAGTGGCTGGGGACTTTAGACCCAGAGAGGGAGAGGGGCTGTGTCCTGAGGACCAGGGAGCAGGCTTGTAGGGTATACCCTTTGTTTGGTTGATGATGCATGGAGGGGACTGTAACCATGGCAATGAAACGACATACGATAGGATGAATGTAAAGCTAATGTTCTCCCATATACACTATCACATAATTCACAATAACAAATTAAAAAGAAATGAAAAAGCACGCAATAGACTAATTGTCTATCATTTTGAAAAGAACACAGATTGCTTTGTAAATTTTCTTTCCAAAGACTTTAATATAAAATAACTTAACGAAATACACCAGTTATAAAATTTTAGACTGTCTGCCTTTTAGTTTCTGGCTAGTGGGTTCAAAGATAATAATAACAACATTACAAAAACATAAAAAGATTATACATAGGAACATAGATAATGGGAATTCTTTTTAAAAGAGAGATACAAGGAAGAAAAAGAAACAGTTTTTATATGCATTAATTATAAACCATAGCAGTAAAAACTTTCCGAACATTGGCAAGAAAGGCTGAAAAATTGTTGGTCTTCCTTAAATTCTCCTGAAATTCTGCCAGGCACTCAAGATGGGGAGAACTATCCGATACTAGAAGAAAAAAACGAAGAGAGTTTGAGTAAGATATTTTGTGTGTGAAAGAGAAACAGCTCTAGTTTAGATGTTCTCATCTGATTTGATTTTCAATTCCATTTCATTGAAATACTACTTTGAGCATAAAATGATAAAATGACATGATTTTCATATTACAACTACCCTTTAGACGTTTTCTTCCTTTGAGCTCTAATTTTTTTGTAATTTCTAAACCAGTTTTCTTTGTAAAACTTTAGACTGACCTGCCTTTTAGTTTCTGGATACTGGGTTCCAAATAATAATAACAATAACTTTCAGTGCCAGTCTTTAATAGCTTACAAAATGGAAAGAATAACCTGAAATTTTACAAGTGAAATGGATGTAACAACAGATGTAATGAAAATCTGGTCATTATTCCAGGAAGGGTATTTATAGAGCCTACTCTGGTAGCGTA